CATAAATATTTATACAAACACATTCCCGATCAAATTTAAAATCCTACCAATATCCAAATATTCTCACGGATAAATTCATATATTGAACAATTCAACCAAAAATTCCAGATTTCGTTATTTTTTTTTTTTTTTCTCCAAGACGACTTTTCACCAGAAATTCAATTTCCCCTCGTGCCAACATTCGTCTCATTGACAATGAAAGATAACAATCGTCCACGAAATACTTTCATTCCGCAAATGGACTGCACCGTTCAACATTGCTAACTTGGATCATTCTGGCCGATCTTCGTAAAATTCCACCGAGTTTAAATTTAATTCAACCTTTGGGAATCTTTCTCCGTGGATAACGACCGAAAAATGTAATTCGAGGATTATCCTCAACTGGCCAAAGTTTTTCTTTATTTCACGCGCGGCGTTAAATTTTCATTCGACTTTATGCACCACGTATTCCACCGATACCCATAATCGTGTAATTGGAGAGACACAGAGAGTCTGGAAACGGGAGAATTTTCACAAGCTTCGACGTTAACACCAATGTCCTAATTGGCTTTCGAGCTTCTGCAAATCTCTGACCGTCCAATCTTCTTCCATCCCCGACGTTTCTGACGTATTTGCATAATTGCTCCTTCCAATTGTCTTCGATAATTTCATCGCGCTCCGAATTTTGGTATTCGATTCGTGGATAAAGATCCGAATTAACACTTCTGCTGGCGCGTGATGCTCTTGAACACAAATTCAATCCACTCGGGATTATTCGAGGAATTTAAGAAATGTAAGGAATTCAAATTAGTTTCAAGGAACTCAAAGAATCCAAGCAATCCAAAGGATTCAAGATTTTCGAAGATTTTAAACAATCCAACAGGTTCGAATCTGATGATAATGATTAATAAAGGATCAACAACTCTGAAGAATAATAATAATCTTTGAAAATATCAAAGATCGCCTTGGACACATTTTGTTAGAAAAACACGTTCGAAAAATCTCTACTTTCTGTTCCTTATCCTCAAACTTCCATATCAGATTTTGAAGAAACACAATAGTTAATCGATACTGAGTGTTTTAACGTTAAACAAGTTTCATACGTGTTCGTATAATTCTTGTGTGGAGGATCGTGTTGCTCGAAGTGGAACAATTACATGCTCGTTTAGACACGCACTGACGTTTCGAGGATATTCGCGAATTATCGCGAAATTTTCACCACTTGTCGCTCTAAAATTTAATATTTTAAGCTCCAATATAGATCTGCCATTTCGCTCGATATTTGGCAATATTTTATTATGGGGAAAAAAAAGAGCACACTGCGGAGAGGTTCGTGGATTAATCAACGATTCGTAAGAAATTGAAAATTCATCAACGTGAAATGAAATCGTTGTAACGATGGAAAATTCGTGACTTGAAAACTATCGTATCGACGTCGAGCGTGCGCGAAAATTGATATTAAAAAAAAAAAAAAGGAAAAAGAAAATTAAAAAAAAAAAGGCTACGTCAAATACACACGAAAATTCGGACCGAAAAACGGGAAAAGTCCGGGGAAAAAACATTGCATCGATGTCAAATGCATCTGCAACATTCGGTGATGCGGCGATGAACGAGAAATGTATAACCACAAATAAATATCTAAACGTCGCTGATAAAATTTCATAGAAATTTTATCGATAGAGAAATTGTTCGAATCAAACGTTTTTCTTGAATTGAATTAAACGTTAAATCGAAGAATCGTTGAAAGATCCACACGAGAATCCTCTCTACTGTATCCTGGAGCAATTTCAATTTCCATTTATTTTTATCATACACGATGATTAGCAACAAATTTATCGTCCAGAAAATATTTGTTCGTGTATAAGTTTTTCAATGAAAAAATCGAGCGAAATCGCAGCTAGAAGAAGATCGTCCGTCGAACGCAGGATAAGTTCGCAGAAACACTTTCTTCGTGGCGATGTAACACCGATCGATTTAATTGAAGATCGTGAGTTACGCGAGTCGATTGATCGGCGGACATAAATAGAAAAGAAAGGAAAAGAAAAAAAGAAAACAAGAGACAAAAGAAAAATTAACCAGGCGTGAGAAGGAAGGGGAGAGGAGAGGAAATTGAACGAGATCGGTGATTGAACGCAGCGGTGTTCGATGGATGCGGGTTAAATCGGGTGTGACCAGCGTGGTTGAAAGAAACGAAACTTAAAATTCGAAAAGAAAAAACGACAAGGGCGTAAGGAACGAAAGAAGAAGCTGAAACGAGTTAATCGCGTTCGATCGAGATTTCGATTTTAAAAAATTGAAAGAAGAAGAAAAAAAGAAGAAAAATATATACAAAAAAAGCACGAAAATGAACAAAGCAGCCGAATTCACTATGCGAAACTGAATAATCTATCGAAATCGCGTGATTTCAAGAGAACAAAACAAGTCGAGGAAACTATGGCCTGCGCGGAACGCTGGTCGCTAGGTGGCTCTGCTGTGTCTCGATTCGTTTTCTACCATTTAAAACGATCTCTTGTAATTTACTTAATCTCGAAACGAGGATAGTTGATAGTCAATTCGTTAAACTCGAGTTAAAAGCACGAAGGAAGGAAAAAAAGAAAAAAATTTCTCTCTTTTCCTTTTCTCGATCGAGATAAAATTATTCGACGAAAGAGCTTTTCCCTCTTGGAACGGACAGAATAATATTGGCAAATTTAACCTTTCTGGGGGAAACTTCGCCCCAGATCCAGAATGAATTATAGCGGAAACACAATTGGATTGTTTATTATCTTTAATCTCTGACCAAAAGGAAATCCGCAACGATATTTTCTCGCAAATCTCGCTAGATAAATCTGGCATCGAGCATGATACCATTAATTATCGGCCTCCGATTAATTAACCGAGGCAAGACGTACTTCCGGTCCAGCAGAACTCGCCGCGGTGACGCGTTCGCGCTCGCGCTGCCACACAAACAGGAGGAAACACTGGCAAAAGAAGAATAAGAAGAAACAAAGGCGGTAAAAAAGAAGTAAAAAAAAAAAAAGTATAAAAAAGAAGAAATCGAAAGAAAACCTAGTTAAATCGGATGTATATATCTATGTACATCGAGATATCGGTATACATGTTTTTCTCTTTCTCTTTCTTTTTCTAAAGCGTACAAATGTGCGCGAAAAAATAAAAAAAAAAAAAGTATAAAAAAGAAGAAATCGAAAGAAAAACTAGTTAAATCGGATGTATATATATATGTACATCGAGATATGCGTATACATGTTTTTCTCTTTCTCTTTCTTTTTCTAAATCGTGCAAATATGCACGCAATAATGAATAATAAATAGTACACAAGTGTGTATCACATGGTGTACATATATATATAAATCCATTTGTCGTCTGGTATTTGAGATTGGGTTATTTTGGCTCGTTTCGATTACAAAAAAAAAAAAAAAAGAAAAAGAAAGAGAGAAGGAAGAAATATTAGGAGCAAAAGAAAACAACAAAAAAAAAAGATAGTGAGAAAAATAAAAATGAAAAGAACTCTCTTTGCGTCTCAAGTAAGTCGTCGACTCTCTCAATGGGGACTTACCGTTCTTTTTTTGGACAACGACTTTCGCTGCGACTTTACGGGGGTTGCATATGCCGAACAACGGAGTTTTGAGTGGAGTAGTAGTAGTAGTAGTAGTAGTAGTAGTAGTAGTAGTA